CCAATATTAAGACTATACATAGACATTTAGTACTGTCAAGTTGCATGTTACTTTACGCCCACTGATTACTACGTAATGACCATTATCATATTTACCTATTGATCAAGTTGTAATGAGTTCATTAGTATAAGTGACTTGGCATAGCATATACTGCACGATGTTGGGGGGTAATTATTTTTTTTATTTCAACACATAGATAATGGTACAAAGAGGCACCAAATACATATGCGCCACACAAATCTCATCCGGGGGGGGGAATTAATCAATGTTAATATCTCAGTTACACTTCAGCCACGGTACGAACACCTGAGTAGCAGTATCTAAAACTATGAGAACGAGAGACGTGGGCTGGAATTCTATAAAAAGTATCAGTCCCCTGAATATTGCAGTACATGCTTTGTTTATGAGTATCGAACAGTACGAAAACCAAGTCCAGAGTTTCCCAGTGACGACCTCTAAACACCGAATATATACATAGGCCTGGTATCATTCCTCTTACGTAACCACTTATACTCTATGCACTTAAGTCAAAATCGGCATGAAAAGTCATAGTTCTCATCTTCCGAAAATTTAATACTAACTGATTGAATTTAAAACTTTCATGAATGGTTTGTATTGGCCTTTGTCCTGAAAATATATGGACTTGATAACTATAGAACCTTTGGTGAAAATTGTTGGGGAAAAATTATGTCTTCAAACAGTTGACATTGTTTGTTTATTTTATAAATGCCCAGTAAAAATTTACCAATTTAAATTTACATAATAATATTCACGTTCATATATATATATAGTCTAAATACCTGTAGGCTCATCAGAATGTTGAATACGTGATCCAACTTCATCCAATACATACCACATTATTTGTTGCAACTCCGGTACTTGTGATAACAATGACATATTCTCCCGTGTTGATAATTTGTAATATCGACAATATCTTCCAAGTGAGAATAGACAAAACGTGATTTAGAAAAGTTAAATAGATCCCTAGCAAATATGAAAATTATTATTAACCCATCAACCAGCTACAGACTAGTATACTTGGCATTTCGCCTAGTACGATGCCTGAAAATTAAGTCCAACAACTAAATCTTACTTGATTAGAGGATGAATGACCACAAGATAATTTCTTCCAATCCCCTATGGCATTTTATTAATTAGGTATTTAAATTCTGTATATAAGCATGAAAGATTATTATTCCAAGGAAGTACTAGTCACTGTCTTTTCGCGGCGAAGGCATTGTGTACGAAATTGAGGGGACAAAAAAACGAATGTCCGGCGCTTCAACCGGGTTGGTAGACGCGAAAGGTTCACTTAGGAGAGTTGAAAAACACTGATTCAAAACTAATAGTGCAAATGGGATACAGGATTCTGAGGAAACAAATGGAGTATGAACCTATCGTTCGTCACTGGTTACAATGGAACTGCATCTCCTGACATTACTCCACTGCTTTGTGGATTAAACCTTCGGGTAGAAGGCTTCGAGTGTGGCCCCCAAAGAAAACAACCTACTTCGGTCTGGGTACCCGTGCAGTATCACAGCCCACACACAAACCAAGTGACTTGTGTGGCGCATATGTATTCGGTGCCCCCTTGTACCAATATTTATATGTTCAAATAATAATAATAATAATAAATGAATAAATAATCTACTTATCTAGCTAGTGGTCTTCTCTTTGATTGCTAATCATTAGAGAGCTTATGTTAATAATAGTCTTGCGAGCAGCCATTACTCGGTCATTTTACATAATCGCATTTATGTGTCAACCAGCATAGAACTCATAAATTATAAAAGTCGAAAGTTCTCTTATCAGATAATCAAAAACTTCCACCATAAAAGTGGCGACAACAGTGAGGTTCGAACCCCTTCGGGGAAACTCCAATGGATTGATAGTGTTATTGAAATTACAGAAGGCGAACATACATCATATAGCAAGGTTTCTTGTTAGTGTACAGAGCTACACTAAACGATGTACTAACGAATTGGCGATCACAAGCGGAAATCATGGGTCACAGATTAAGAGCACTCAAGCATCCGATGTTACTGAGGTCTAACTATGGAAAACGGTACCATTGAAAACCTTAACATTCGAGACTGAAGCTGTTGTGTTCGCTCGAGATTACAGACCGAAGAATGACACATGGACAGAGGGGTGTCACGCTAAGGCTATGCTAGGTGATGTACATGGGGGTCGGAAAAGACAAATGGACATGAAATCTCAATCAGTTACAGGAACGTATATCATGGGAATGTACGAAAACAACAAGCAACTTACTTCCATACATTTTTACAAATATTTGAAGCGATATCCTCGTTTAGTTGATTTAAAGTATTTATATTCATTAATGAAGCCATTCGTTCTAATAGACTAGGAAGTTGAAGTAAGCACTCTTTCATAGATTGTACATCGAAAGTCCACGCATGATCAACGAGAAAGATACTAGAATAATTTCGTAAAAATTTACCATATCCTTGTTAGATTTTGCATACTTATTACTATCTGATACTAAAAGTTGATCACTACAAACTAAAATATCCCAGTCACGATTAACAGTCAACTCTTCGCTTCCAATTTCGTTATCATCACCTTCATCGTCATTTGTATATTCAATCTGTTGCATCATAACACTTGTGTTAGCATCATATATCTGTAAAAATATTTTGTGCACAATAACAAAATCAAACAAAACAACACCTCATGTAAAAGTTTCTCGTGTAGTCTACGCCAAAAGTGACCAGGAATTCCACTTGCTCTTAGTTGATCATCGTGTAATTTGATGAATTCTTTAAAGTCAGGCTGAGTAGTACCGTTCATTTGAATTTATTAATCAATTAGTCTAAAAATATAAAGATAGATGACGATTTTATTCATGAATATACTTGAGACTAACATGTTTCAAGTATTCTTATCAATTTTGAACATACTCATAACGGTTTAGTGAATGTTATTCACTAAGCTAAACTAAATGCTCCCTAGTGCGTGCAAGTTTTAGAGCAGTGAAATGTTTGACTGCCCATCGATGAATGGGTATAAAATCAGTAAGACGTTCAGTTTTGCCTTAGAACTATGGTCTATAAAAGATAGTAGTAAATAGCATAATAGGCCTAAATGTACTTGAATAGAAAACCATCTGAAAAAGGAAAGTGATTTACTAAGCACAACGATAAATAAAAAAGGATGGTAAGTGATACTGGTTGATAACACGAACCTCCCATTACTTTTTCTTAAAATCAGTGTTTGGTCTGTGACTTAATGGTTAGAGGACTTGAATTTTAACAAATAAGTAGGAGCTTTGAATTCTATATACTTCTATTAAAGCACCTTATTAGTATTGCTAGCTCTCAAAGTTTGGTTAAATACCAAGTACAAAAAAGATGTTTATGAGTTCTAAGTAGTTTACTGTATGTTTATGTCGAAACAATTAAATGATGTATGGCCACAGAAACAGCTCCATGTAATTTGCCAACACAAAGAATTCCAAGGAAGCTACGGAAGTGCGAAAGACACAGCTCTCAGTGGAGAAATGAGAAGACGGAATTAACCTGAGACATGTGATGCATTTTCACAACACATTTGAACAGTATGATAACACATATGCCTTGAAACGTACTTCAGTGGAAAAATGTTGAACAAATACAGTGATAAATAGGAACATAAGTAACAATGCAAAATATAACTAGGAAATTGTTATACTATTGCAGGTTTTGGAGTAGATGAAGGATCGTTAAGTCAGATTCACAGTGAACACCAAGTCAGTCAGTAACAATGCAGAAATCCGTACGTACGTACATCATTCGGAGTTGCCATACCACATTATCACAGAGGTGTAGTTGTCGATTCGTGACCACAAAGTATTTTGACATGTACATTTGGAAACTCCTAATAAAACCAACCCTGTAACGTGTCTCAATGCTTTTGCTGTCAAGATCCCTCGTTTTCTGCTACCTGAGTATATACAGGCATATTCTAATCCATCCTAGAGATTTTTAAGCACATGTATAAATACCTTCGTCCACAAATTTTTTCCCTTATTACTTATAGTTTCGACATGTATTTGAGTTAATAAATAATAAACAATGTAACTTACAAGATTCCGAGGCCTATGTGGATTTAAAGTTTCAGTATTTCTGACAAAATATCAATTGATAGGATTGGTTTAGAAATCACTCAGTTTAAGTGTCCTATATGTGGTAATTTATTGTAAACCTTTGCCCTTCGACCAAAAACTAAGCTGTTCATATATCGACAACTTAGCACAAACTAAAGAAATCTGATGGATATGTGATCAACATTAGTCCCGGAACGCCGAATCCCTCGGAACAAACGTCTTACTTAAGAAATGTGTTTTCGTTAATACCAGTAATGCTGAGCAGACTAACACTACATAATCTCTGACTCTGATTAGGTTTGCTTCAGTTACAATGGAAACCAAGTTATTCATGTTAGACGATGGCAACACAGGATTCATATCTGTTTCTATCATTCTACTGATTACATTTAATCGTAATGTCAACAATTTATCTTATCATGCTGAACACTTTTTGATGAATATTTAAGCCATTAAAAGTCAAACTAATATAAGTTTCCCTGTTAAATTTTTTTCACTACCTTTGTTTATTCAATCTTACTGTCACTAAGTCTAACAGTTTATTATCATTATTATTGTAATTATTATCATCCTCAAAAACGAGTATATACATTTGTGATTGTAAGAATTTGAAAATCAATTCGCTGAACCAATCTTTCATATTTGATGTCCTAATGAGTGTATTCCGTTTGCAACACAAGGTGACATACCACGATGATGTAAAGCAACACTACTATCAAAACACCCGCCTTCTCAATTCATAAACTAAATTCTCTACTTATTGCAAAATGTTTCATGGTTTGTATGATTACGAAGAATCTGAAGTTCTGAAATTATTTTGTATTCTTGTGACTAATGTACAGAAAAAGCTGTGATTAACCAATAGCAATAATGATCGAGCTACATGCGCAACGGCAGTAGTTACAAATATTGCGGTTCTTAAACGCTGTTGTAAATTTACTCAACGCTTGCACTAGTGTGGTTTAGTTAAAGCACCAATAAAATGTTGGATGTTGAAGTTGTCCCCGAGTTAGGGATACGTCATAAACTTTGGGAGTTCGTTCTTGGGATGCCCATCCAACAAATGATTGACATTCTACGAAAACAAGACCATACGATTAAAAATGTTGATTTTTGGTATAGTGACAAGGATCCTTTCAGCATGAATTTGGTATTGGTGTTACCTGGTGATGGTGTCAAGTTTCACTTTGACCCATTTTTACAAAGACTAAGGGTTGGTATCTCTGTTTCCTAATTTTGCATAGATCATCGAAGTTTTTGATTTGTCCTCCATCACATTACGGTATTGGTAATTATGATTGCTTTTTTACTTTACGGTTTAGGTCACAGTATTTTAATAGTCCATCTATCTTGCCAACAATGCAGGAGGTTTTAAGAATATTCGGATCCACAAAACCTCTGGGTATGTAGAAGTGTTTAAGATTCTCTTAAAATAGTTATTCTATTAAATGGGGCCTCATTATTTCTGTGTCTTCCAGTCTGTACTTGATTTCTTGACTTAAGTAAATTCCATTACATGCAAACGGGACTTGAAAAGAATCATGTGTACGTTCTGCCATAAATTCTTGCACTCATCAATATAGTCTGGAAAAAAATGTGTTTTAAATGTAAATAATCAGATTTAGATTTTTATTTTGAGAACATAAGATTGACGGCCTGTGTTAATCGCATGTGAGTGTTTAGTCTTCTTGAATGAGTCAAATTACCATGATTATCATTACGCATATCAGCAACTAGTACTGCTCCCCCTTCTTACACATTACCAACTTAGTAAATTATTTTTTTCTTCTTGAAACAACTATCTTCTCTTGGCACTCAAATTATCACATTACAGCTAACCTGCCTGCTAATATAATGGCTGCTGCTATCCGGAAACCCAACTTCACTGAGACAAACGCACTCACTACAAGATAAATCCACAAACAACTACCACACTGACTAGAGTTAGTGCAATCGAGTGGTTAGACCACCGCCTACTGAAAATTACCAAATAACAAATTTCAGCGGAACAACAAGAAGTGATCGCAAAAAAATCAGTCGATCTAAGCAAGCACGTGACAAAGTTTTTGAATTGGAAGTTTAGACACCATAAATGACTCGGTTTGAAAACCAATGTTCCACTGTTTTTTATTCATTTTTGGCTTGCTAACAGATACCTAGACTCATGGAGGTAATAGGTACTAAATGTGTAATCTCTAAAGTAACATGATTGAAATGCAAAGATTAAAGATGCAACGTAATGCTCAATACATGAAGGAAGTATTCGAAATTAAGTCTGTTTGTAGACGAACGCACATAGTTCAAGTTTTTCAGGCCAACTTGTCAGAAAACCGTAATATGTGGTTGCTGCTTTTTCGTCATCTAAACAACTATGGTGAAACTGCTACTCAGTTCATCAGTTTGATGGCTGTGAAATTATTTTCTGACGTTTGCTTTCAGTCATATTAGTATCGTACATTAATTTATATGTGGTAACTGGGCTGGAAGGTCCGTTGAAATACATTTCAGCTAAAATATTTGGGTCCACTACCATAATTAGGAATCAAGGATATAATTAGCTCATACTTCATATTTTACGATTAATATTGTCTTATTCCATATCATAATAAATTCAAGCATTTACGTGGCTATTAAGATACTATGTATAGAATTAGCATATTTTATCGTGAAGTCCAGTGATCAGCTGATATAGAATCAATCGTGTACATAGATACTAAGCTCCCAATTTTAAACTGGAGTCACATTATACTTAACTAACACTTCCACGTATTCTCTTTCACCATTCATAGTCATTATATAATTTCTTTATATTAAAAACAGCTCCAGCGGAATCAGATGGTGACTACCAACTAACTTATCGAGGTATTACTTTCATATTGAGAAGGTTCTCTACTGGAAGTCGTGAATCGATTGATTCCAAGTCTGATCTGCTTGCTACACGACTATTTATTTATCTGGGTAGTAATTTAGCAGAAGCTAAGTGAGTACTGTTGAGTTTAGAAACATATTATTTCTTCATTTTCACAGTTACTATTGTTACCATCCACATAATTTTTTTGGCATTTGAAGCAACAAAATTACTAGTACATCATTAGGTTTTCGTTGCGGTGCTTTGAAACAAATACAAGAGAAACAAAGAAGAAGTAATAAATCAGTTGTTATTCAACAACTAGTTGTATAATATAATCTTCAGGATTTAGAATGACGTAAATAATTAGTGCCTGCTTAATACGATTGAGTAGTCGTACTTGGATTGATGATTTAAGTTATGCAAGTACTGACCGGATCCAACGTTGGCTAACTGCGGTGATCAGACGAGAACCGGTGGTATGGTCACCGGCTACTTGAACCGATGCATCTATGTGCCTGGTCCTACGTTGTAACTGACTGAATTTAGGTTATAAAATATTAACTTCCTCGCTAAGGTCTAGATAATAATTATAATATATATGGTTAGAAATCGTAAACAACGTGGCTAAAAATCGTTCTTGGTAGAGCATCCGTGTTCATTCCTTACCTTCTAAATATTAAGCTCAACGTGACTCCACACTTTTCATCTCACTCATCCCTTTTGAATTATTTCTTTTGGAATTCCCATTATAATTAATATTACTATTTTTCCTCCTTATTGTTAATTACCAAGTGGTACGTTACTCAATATATAGTATTTAGTTACCGGGCTTAAGTATAGTTTGCTGTGCTGAGAATTCTATATTGTACCAAAATATAATATTGAATAAAGCCATTAATAATAATAATAATAATAATAATAATAATAATAATAATAATAATAATAATAATAATAATGGTAATAATAATATGCTCTATCAACCCTAATCGATGCAAATTATTAATTGACTGAGAAGGTAATACATCCATAAGCAGTTTTTTCATGTCATGCTGTCCGTGCCTCATTTACAGCTTTACTGGATCATCCAAACATTCACCAGCACCAAAATTAGTCGATCTTATATTTAGAGACGAACCTCAACATCATTGCTAAAATGCTGGTCATCTGTGGAAAATAGCACTCTTCAGTAACGTAAAAAGTACGACTTTGCTGTCGTATCCCGATACAGGTTCACAAGGTAATCAGTTAAAATACGTATTTAGAATCCTATTGCGTTTTACTCTATCTCAATGATTCCAGTTAAAGTACAGTGACGTATGTGACCAAATATCTGTCAGTTACGTATATGTTTTACTCTTTTACAGCTGTAAAGTAGCAAAAAATGTCGCTGATCAGTATGCTCGTCTTTTTTTATGATAAATAATGATTAAAAAGTTAAAAGTGCGTATATACTGTTGAGTGAGGGTTAATACTAGCATTTACTCGAGCTAAATGAGTTCGAATCTGGTTAAAAAAAAGAACAATAGGGAAGCGATTAGTGCGAGGTAGTGTAATAATAATAGTGGTAATAATCGGGGAACGGAAAGGTACAATCAGATGAAACCCTTCAGTTAAAGAAGATATAACCATTTTTTATAAAGAAAGTAAAGGAAAATTACAGCAGGATTGCCACTGGCTTCTATTCCGAGCCATATCTGATAACGTCTCTAGCCACTTTTTTGCACCATTTCTCGAACCGCAGCCAGGGAGTCGTGACGGACCAACACAAGCCAGTCCTTTACAGCTTTCTATCATACCACGACATCATGTCATACACTGACCACCTCTCCACTTTTTCTAACCAGTCTCAGCGTCAGCAAACAATGCACGACGTGGAATTCTCTGGGATGGCATTCGTATAACATGTTCAAGCCAGAGAATTTGGTGTTTCAAGGTGGTGACACCGATTGCATTATCGTTTCTGTGCCTGAACACACGATACTGAACCTCTGCATTACCAACATGATGTTGCCACTGAATATCAGCAATCCTTCGGAGACAACGAAGATCGAACACAGAGAGTCGTCTAACATCCTCAACCAGGTTTCACAAGCATGGAGCAAAACTGCTCTCACCGACGCTTTGTAGATCCGACCTTTTACAGCCAGACTGACATCGTGAATGCGCCAAAGATGGTCTAGATTGGCATAAGCCGCTCTGGTTTTCACTGTACGTGAATCGATCTCATCACTCACGCCACCACCAGCACTTATGCAGCTACCTAGATACACGAACATTTCGACTACTTCTATCTGCTCACCATCCAGGGTGAGTATAGGATTTGAATCCTGCCAGTCTTGTAGAAGTACTTAGCACTTCGAAGGTGCGAAGCACATACCATACTTACGAACAGTAATCTCCAACCGATTAAGTGTGGATTGCATGACTTGGGTATCATTTCTCAATAAGACAATATCATCCACATACTCAAGGTCGAGAAGTCTTTCTCCAGGCAACAGATCCACACCACCATTACTACCATCCATCAGAGCTGTTTCCAGAATGTCGTCGATGGCAAAGTTGAAGAGGAATGGTGAGATTAGGCAACCCTGCCTAACCCCACTGCTCGAATGGAACAATGGAGAGAGGTGGTTGTATGCCCTCACTCTGCCTGAGGTGTTTGTATATAGGGCTTTAGGATGTTAATAAACTTCTCAGGCACACCCTTCTTCAATAGACAATCCCAGAGAACAGTCCTATCCAACAAATCGAAGGCAGTCCTAATGTCAAGAAACACTACGATTGTTGGCCTTTGATAAGTATGTCGGTGTTCTAACATTTGGCGGAGGGTGAAGATATGATCAATACATCCTCGACCAGAGCGAAACCCAGCCTACTCCTCACGAGTCAGTCTTTCTCGGGTTCTGAACAACCTACGAAGTATAACGGAAGCCATTAGCTTGGACGCAATCGGAAGTAGACTTATACCCGATAGTTGTTACAGGAACGACATGAACCCCTTTTAAAGATAGGGACAAATATCGACTCATTCCATGACGTTGGTACGCTCTCTAGTTCCCAAACCTTTGTAAACAACGTCGTCAATTCCTTAGTCAAAAAGTCACCACCATCTTTAAAAAGAGCCGGAGGTAAGTCATCTGGGCCAGGTGATTTGTAACGCTTCAAGAGTTGGAGTTCCTTGTTGACTTCCGCCTCATTTGGTGGATCAGTCGTCACCGGCCATGGAGGGCAGGACAGTCTGACCGATGTTACCGGAGCAGCAGGCCAGTTGCACTGCACTTCGAAAAATTCTACCCATCGTCCAAGACGTCGATGGATGTTAGCGATTGGCATCCCATCATCCTCGCAGATTGTTTCACTCACACCAGACTTCTTGCTGCCAGTGGCTCGGATGAGCTGGAAGAGCTTCCGGTAGTTACCAGATGCAGCTTCTGCTTCCAGCTCATTAGCACGCTCCGACCACCAGGCTTCTCGGTCCTTACGCAAGCTTTGTCCTATTTCCTTACGTAACATCCTTCGTTTGTGGTCAAACTCACGGTCACCCGGAGTAGACCGACGGGCTTCAATGAGTTGTAAGGAACCTGCAGAAACCCAGTGCTTAAAAGCGGGACGTTTCGCAAACCCACAACTGACTGTACCCGCCATTTTCATGGCGTCATGCAACTGCAGCTAATGTTCATGCATACTTTTCGGTGGAATGGTAGCTAGCCTAGCAGCTAGCTTACTTACTTGCAACAGAAGTTGCAACCAGCTTGCTAATATCAATCCTTTGGTGGCGGTCACTTCGTTGTCCACTGGAAAGTAAGGCGAGATTGGCGCAGACCAAGGCATGGTCAGAGTCCAGATAGGTACTCCAAAAGGAGCGGCAGTCTTTTACACAAACACGCCAGCGGTAGCTGATCGCGATGTGATCAATCTGAGTCCAGGCTTGGGATGCAGAAGAAGGACGCCAGGTGGCACATCGGCGATGACTGTGCCGAAAGTTAGTGCTAGCCAGAAACAGGTTGTGGTCTGTGCACAGTTGCAGTAGACGGTCCCCGTTATCTGACCTGCGACCAACAAGTCCCCATCGGCCACCTAAACGACTCTCTTCTGTGCCTAGATGCCCGACCTGAGCATTCAAGTCTCCGGCTAGTACTACAATATCTGTCGAACGCACTTTCTGGAGAAGAACAGATAACTGATGGTAAAACTCATCCTTGATTGTATTCGGGCTGCAATCTGTCGGAGCATAGGCGGAGATAACGAAAAGACATCGTTTTTCACGCCGATTTCTTCTCACTTTGATGAAACTTTCTAATCTAACAGCACATAACCGACTGTTAATGGGGATCCAATCGATTAGGGCTGCCTCAGATCTAGCTCTCAGTGCGACACCAGACGAAAATGCCACAGGGTCCCCGGATAAGCGCACGTAAAACAAGCTTTTTGAAGCGACAGATGGAGAGAAAATTTGTAGTACTTCATCAGAGTCTTGAATACGGGTCTCGGATAGACAGCAAACATTTATATTAAGACTTTCTGTTGTCCAACCTGCATAAGTGTGCGAGCGTTGAAGGCAGCCAGTTTAAATGGTGCATGCGCTTTCAGAAAAATTGCCTCAGTACTCATATTCGGTGGTAACATATAATTTTTAACTGGACAGTGACTCGAGGTCGTTTTGATACAGTCGAATTTCCACCATAGACGAGCTGCTGTATAAGTCGAAAAAATAAGTATAAACAGAGTGGGAATAAAGGGTGGTGAATAATGACGTTGTAAATAATAATTATAATAATAGTAATAATAATGCGAGTCACTTGATTGTTATTTGGAGCGAGAGATACTGCCCGGGTGCCCAAACCGAAGCAGTTGGTTTTCTTAGGGGGCTACAACCCGAGCCTTTGACCTAAAGGTCTAACCCAGAAGGCAGTGGAGCATCGTGAGGAGATGCAGTCCCATGGTAGCTGGTGACCGAGAAATTGGTTCATACTCCATTTGTTCCCGCAGGATACTGGAGCCCATGTGCACCATTGGTTTGGGATCCGGTTAAAGCGCCAGATATTCGCTTTTCGTCCTCTCATTTTTGTAAATAACACCCCCGCCACGAGAAGGCAGTGAGTAGGACTTCCCTGGCAGAGGCTGTATACGCATGGCCGTATGAGAGTATTTCGAGAGGGAGGGTGAAACCACCCCGCCATCGGCCATAGTTAGGACATTTGGGGGCTAAATAAATACTATTAACATTCACTTTATGCATACTGTTTTCCTATCGGATTCCGTCACAATGCACAATTTCCTAACCACCTATGAAACTTAAGAATACTGAGTGTATATGAAACTGTAATTGACAAATCTCGAGCGAATACATACGTACGTTTTCCATCTATATGATACTAGACTGATTCATACAGGGATATATGGATAGTGATCTTAGATAAAACATTCACTCATATAGCACTTCTCACCTACCCTGGATCCTCACGATGGTGAGCATCTGGCATATCAGTAACCATGCATTATATTTGGTTGTTTATTTTTTCTTTCAAGGTATTGACCTTTCCTTGTTTCTCGTTTCAATTATTTGTGTTGTTCTAATTATTTAAATAACATTGATATTGTTTCCTTATAATCTATTTGTTTCTAGAGTCCCAGTTGAATTACCTAGTGCATGCTATTTACAAAATGTTTTTCTTGAAAGACTCGAAGTCAACAGATCAGTCAATTCTACCACAGACCTAACGTTACATCTTGTTGCTCAAGGTATATCGTTTTTTTTTTCATGTGACGTTTTGGTGTTTTTATTGGTTATACTTTAATTCTATTGTAAAATACTTATTGATAAGCATTATATTCCTTTATCAAACTTTTGAAATATGTTGGTAATTGAGTGTAACAGGATTTTAATACTTTATTTAACATAAGAGTTTTAACACTAAAACCAATTCAGTGAATCAGTCTGTTATAACTGTGATGCTGCAGCAGATTAGAGGGTAGCGAATTATCGATCGGACCAAAGACGCGCAAACACGTAGAACGGCCATAGGGTTCTGATTGGTCCCGCTTCCCTGTCTAGCCCAGCCAGTTGAGTCCAGAACATAAGTATCAGCCTCGGAGATATGAATCATTATATTTCAAACACACTCTGTTTGTATACTAATCAAGCAGACCACATCGTACCATAAAATAGAAAATAACGTACAATATTGACCGGTAGGAAAATGACACGTCAAATAAGTACTGGCCAATAAGAAAATAATACCACCTCCAAGTCCAAGAATAGCATTAGACTTAATAGAATAATTTTTGGGATATTTTCCTGAATATCCCAACACAGTCATATGCAGTATAAAACCTGTCGCTTATGTATCAGTTCAAGTTCCCAATCAATGCTTAATGCTAAATAACAATTGGTGAAAGAATATGAATCACACTCAATAATAAATCTAATCTAATGTTACTATTTGATTAGCATTTGATTGTACAGTAATTCACAATCAAATACTAATCAAATAGTAACATTAGATTAGATTTATTATTGAGTGTGATTCATATTCTTTAACCAATTGTTGTTTAGCATTGAGCACCTTTACATTCAAATTAGTCAGGACCTGCTTCGGTTTGGGCACCCGGGTAGTATCACAGCCCTCGCACATATCGAATGAGATTTGTGTGGCGCATATGTATTCGGTAGGTGTAGACTACCTGGTTGGGGACCGCGAGATGATAACAACCGATGGTTAGAGACCCTGAATGACATTGCTCAAAATCGTTTGCAATGGCGCAGGTGCATACACTCTTTGTGTTCTCCCAAATTTTGATCTCCTTATTCCTCCTTGTCTTTTTTTCTCTTCAAAATTTATTTCATTGTATTATACTCTTTAAGTAACATCTCCAAACATTAATTTTCCCGATTACTGCTTATACTCTTATTACCTCTACCACTACAGGATTTGAATCGACCACGGCATCTCTGTGCTAATGTGGTGTGGCAACTCGAACTGATGTACGTACGTACGAAGTTCTACGTTGTTACTGACTGACTATGTATTTGGTGCCTCCTTGTACCAATATCTATATGTTAAAATAAATAAATAGTACAGTAATTCCCCTCTTGAGACTAAAATGTTCTCATTTTTTTACTCTAGATTTACTGAGTAACATTTATTTTACTCATCCATATTTGTTTTCCTCATTTTTGCAGATTTGAACGTGAATCCAACTCGTGAACCTCAAATCCGTCGGTTTACTCGCTCTTTAACTTTTGGAGATTCTGTTCAGGTTTGTGACTAGGCACTGTTCTGTTGTCAAAGCGAATTTTCTTAGAATTATTTTTAAACCTTGTGTTTGGTCGACCCCTTCAGTTTTATTAATCTAATTGACATGATCATTAAATTACGTGTTCAGGTAGAAGTTATGCATAAACGTTTTATTGTAAAGAAATCTATGAGGTCTAGTGACACTTTGCGGTTACTCAAACTAAAGTAGATGGAGTGGGCTTGAACTTGTGACTTGGAGACTAAAAGTTAAACGTCTGAACCACATGAAATTTCGATGCTGATTGTCAACTTTATAAAAGTGTAGAGACAAATTTATGCGATCATAGTCAATTTTTATCAAAGGTTTATAATCCCTTTAATATTAATATTCGCTTTCTGAATCTGGTAAGATCGCTAACAATAGTCCAGTCTCTCAATTATCGTTTTATCGATAAAATATCTTATCACGATCAGAAAGTGTCGATTTCATAGTAGCACTATCAGTTTCCTAAATCTTCAATTCTTTTTACCATTATTTTATTGATTTTCTCTCTCATTCAAACTCAAGAAATGTTATCCTTAATTTCCTGGTAACTAGATTTAAACTATGATGGGACTTTCACTATTCAAACCCTATGTCAAATGGGAAACCACGTATCATTAGCAAGAACTCTATAATGGAGTAAAATTAGAATACAATCTATCACTTTAGAGATTTGTAGATATTATTGAATGTTGTCATTATTACGAAATAACTTGAATTAAACATCCATTGAAAACCAAGTCGGCACCAAATACAAAATGCCCGTAATTCAAGGTTTGTCAAAATGTGTTGGTAGAATACTATCAGAATAAATGAAGCCTGATCATCAGGCATAATTTTCATTCATTAATGGATTACTTTTTGAAAATTAGTTACTCTCTGAAGAGAGCTGTATTCTGACACTGTTAATATAAGTAAGGATGGCAGTGTTATATCTGAACGAAAACTAAAGGAATGGTAAGTTCAGGACTAATTTATAGATGATTGACCCGTTAACCTGTGTTAAATAATTCACTATTCTCAATTTATTTTCAACCTATTATTACCAAAATACCCTGTTCTCAGACATTTTATGGTTTGATCATGTATAATGCTATTCTTTATTTTGTGGTGTAATGAGGTCTGGTCTACTTGTATATGAACTATGTTTGGAATATAAGTACGATCTTGGACTGCTGGTGGTCATTGGTCCTATTTTCTTCCTCTGGCCAGACCAAAACATGGCACAAGTCCATGAAGTCACTGACAAGTGGTCTGAGTCATGTTGATAGGTATAGACTACCTGGTTGGGGACCGCGAGATGATAGCAACCGATGGTTAGAGACCTTGAATGACATGGCTCAAAATCGTTTGCAATGGCGCAGGTGCATCCACTCTTTGTTTTCTCGCAAATTCTAATCTTCTGAATTCTTCATGTCCCTTTTTCCTCTTTCCAAATTTATTTCACTGAATTATACTCGTTAAATAACATCTCCAAACCCTAATCATCCCGATCACTGCTTACACTCTTGCTACCTCTACCACTACGGGATTTGGATCGACAACTGCATCTCTGTGTTAAGGTGGTGTGGCAACTCGAACTGATGTACGTACGTACGAAGTTCTACGTTGTTGAAAGTCACCTACCCAGCAGCAAAACTTATGACAGTATGGCAAACGAACTGCTCACTTCAACAAACCAAAATCGACAAGCCCTCTTTCCTTAGTAGCTCCAACTGCATCTACCAATTCACATGTACGTGCGAAAGCACATACATTGGAAGAACTGAGAGAAGAGTGCATGTCCGCATTTCTGAGCATGTTCCAAAAAACTTGAGGCTGCGAGGGAATAAGGCCTTCAACAGCGCAATAGCTCGACATCTACTTGACACCGGACACACCATCGAGATTCCACACGCTTTCAAAATTATCAATAGACAAAGAAGTACGACCACCCTCCGTTTTGCTGAAGCCATCATGATAAAAAAACTCAAACCTGACTTATGCATCCAAAAAGAGACTTTAATTAACTTATCACTACCCTGGTAACCCCTTTTTATTTTATTATTTATTAATTTATACTCCTCCCCTATTACATAATTCTTAAACCACATTATCATTCACACATTTCCGCCACTTGATCCTCTTAAATTATCTTAACTTTTCAAATTCTATTTTATTACTATTATGTAACCTATCTTATAATTATTCAATTCCATTATTACACCACCCAACCCGAATTAATTCCTTTTGACCTCTGACCTGTTCTAGCATATATATATTTACAATTATTATTGTAACCCAGTTATTTACACTCATCTATGTCAATTGTTTTCACTATATCTCAATGTAAAAATTCTATCACAATTTTGGTTTGTAAGCAGCTGACGAGATACCTCGAAATAATATGAATTCATACTATTCTGCACCATTATTTGTTCTTGCTTTATTTAAATTCATAAAGGGAACCAATTGCATGAAATTGTTACTGACTGACTGATTTTCTTCCTCTTCGTTCGGGGCTAGTTACGACTGGGTAAACCTTCAATCATAAAGTATCAGTCTTCCTCGTCCTTGCTGAGTATTCGTTTCTTTAGGTTGTCTATGAGTATTGGTCGTTCTTAACACATAACATGATGCTTCTTGAATCCTTGTCAATTTTTAAATATTTCTCTTAAAAATTTTACAGTATCGTTTTTAGTCTTTTAATGTATGCTACTTAAATCGCACTAATAGTATATGTTTATTTTTCAATGTTTTCTACCAATCAGGATGTACTTTCAGCTTTAGGTTCTCCAAGTCGTGTATTTTATAAAACTGAAGATAAAATGAAAATTCATCTTCCTCAATCTCATCGACTTGTGCAACCTAGAAAATCGGATTATTTTTTCAATTATTTTCCACTTGGCTTAGATATATTATTTGATGCCCAAACACATGAAGTAATGAAATTTGTTTTGCATACAAATCAACCAGGAGAGTATACATTTAACACGTACGTGTTTCTATTGCCTTTTTTCAGAAAAAAAGAGAAAAACAATTACTGGGCATTGTGCAAATAATTTTTCTGAGGGTAGTGTGTAATTTTGGTATTTAGTTAAGTTTAATTACTGCACGAGTACCCAGACCGAAGTAGATTGTTTTCTTAGGGGGCCACACCCGGAGCCTTCTACCCGAAGGCTTAGTCCATAAAGCAGTGGAGTAATGTCAGGAGATGCAGTTCCATTGTAACCGGTGACCAACGATAGGTTCATACGCCATTTGTTTCTTCAGGATCCTGTATCCCATTTGCACTATGGGTTTTGAACCAGTGTTTTTCAACTCCCCTAGGTGGGCACGGAGGGCCCACCAATATAGTTTAAGCGCCGTCCTCTCGAGTTCGTAAACATTACCTCTGCCGCGAGAAGGCAGTGTGTAGGACTTCCGTGGTAGTTGCTGTATACGCGTGGTCATGTGAGAGCATTTCGAGAGATAGAGCTGACTGTCTCCACTCTCGGCCGTACCTGGTTTTTTGGGGGCTGTCGCATACAAATACTATTCACTTGTACGCTACCTTTAGTCCTCATTTACCTATTTTCTTTCATTTATAGAACAACGGTACAAGTATTTAACATTTCCAACATCGTCAACTATATCAAGATATTCTTGTTAAGGTAATAAATGATGAAATGATATATTTGGGCAAGCCTGATAGTTAGGTAATAATTTCCATTGGCTAATGAATAGCTTATAATTATTAAATCATCCAATCGTTTATTTCTTAAATGAATTCTAATTCTAATTGTTCTTGTGTATAATACTTTGTACATAAGCGTGTTATTTTGTTAGATGAAAAACCTATCATACTAGGCAGCTGTCTTTCAATGTCAGTTCGATTTGAGTCTTACATGTATAATCCAGTCTCGTGAGCAATTATCATTTCGCACATTATGTCGTTGCTGATTATCATTTAATCAAAACCTTTTTTTCTTCTTTAATCGTTATGAATCATAGAAGGCCTAATTTATAACGTATATGCTATTTTGTCCTTTTAAAGTTTAAATTGACACAAATCTAGAACTTTTCATCTTAGCTACTAAAGTATCCATATCTTTATTTAACTTTGATTCTTCATATATAGTTACTCTTTTTATTTCTGTAAATCTATATCTTATTTTAAAGAGGTCCAATGTAATTTTTTTACACAGATATCTTTTTACTCTCATAGATATTATCGATGTCTTTTTGAAATACCAATTCCTATTGTAAAATCATCTAAAGAGAATACAAATAGTGAAATTGATGAAACAGATAATGTATTAAATGAAACAAAATATTTAGTAACACCATTCTCAAAGGTAAGCAAATTTATTAAGTTTAGTATATATCATCAATCTATTTACAAATCTTATTAGGAAATATTATGATTTAGTTAACACATATTCTGTAATGAATTTTTAAGCATTAAATTAGCTAAAAGAATAGCTATCATGCTTTATTCTAGTGTAATTCATTGCGATCATATCAAAGTTGACTCAATCTGTTAACCAGTAAGGAGAATGATAAACAATCTCGAGGTTAGATATCAGGTAAGAGGTGAAATAATTTGAAACAAATAACAGATACACAATTAACCAAATTCGTGATCAACAAAACAAGTTATTAACAATTGTAGGAAAATTCTAATAACATACTTCTTATTGAAGTATTATCGAGAAAAACAATAAAAGCTTCGTAATTTAACCATGCAGCTAGCAAAACAGAACATTTTAAGAATCCTCATCCTGAAGTACAAATATTCACTGCCATTTCATTGGGGACGTGTTGATTAAACCACTTCTCCAAATTTTATGATCTGTAGGGTCATAATGGAAAATCTGAAGTGATCAGTGTATTGACATGAATAAGCTAGTTAAATTAAGTTATAGAATATGTATTTTTGTTGTTTAAACTATAACAACTATTGAAATTACTATAATATCCACAAAAACCTTTTCTGATATTAATCAACATATGCTCACTAGTGACTGGCTTCAAGAGATATTTCCTGGATTTCTAGTGAGAAGCAGTGACCAGTGGAATTCAACTGGATATGCTGTGAGATAGTAACTCACTGAAGACAATGGTGGTTGTGTCGCTCAATTCCGTAGATTAATTGAAGTTAGACATTAACACTGTTGAATGCCGGCCGGCTCAGTGGTCTAGTAGTTAGGCGCTCTCGTGAGAGACTGATAAGTCCTGGGTTGGAATCTTGAGAGGTGGGATCGTGGATGCTCACTGCTGACGAGTCCCACAATAGGACGAAGCGGAGGCCCAGTGCTTCCAGGTTTTCCATGGTGATCTAGCTTCAATTGACTCGTGATCTCAACTATTGAAATTACTATAATATTCACGAAAACCTTCTGATATTAAACTAAAAACTTTTAGAAATAAATGTGTATAGAATCGTATAATTAGCTGAAAATTAATTGCAAACTTTCATTGTTATTATTACTTTTCTTAAACTTTTACTCAATAATGCTAAAATAATACAAAAGTGGTCTGATGTTCGACAACATTTAATTTCATCAATGGATACTGAACCAGTGGTTATTTATAGAGAATCGAAACCACAACAGAATCCTTTTGGTCCAACACATGCGTATGGTTATCAGGATATTATATTTGAGGTAAGTTTAATGTGATCGAACTTTCATTTTCAAATTTGTTATTGTTTATGTCTTGTATTGAACTTTATCGGTCGTAAATGATGTGTATTTCAAATCATTTGACTATGTAACTTTCTGCTTGTACTAGATCGACTTTGTTTCTAGGAAAGCAGAAAGATCATTAATCTTACTAGACTCTATATAGGTAATGTACAGTTAAGGATTGAATAAATATAGCACTCGAATGTCAACTATAGACTTATAGTTTCAGTTGTCCTGTACTCTATTTGATTTGGACAGACGAGTGCTAAGACTAGCTGTTACACACTGTATATTTCGATAATACAATAAGAAGAAAAAGTTTGTCAGAATTATGTGATATATTTTTACAATACATTCCGAACAATCTGATCACTTATATGCTTGTTAAGACATTTTTATATGAAAATTAAAAGGTCAACTAGTCAGGTTAAAGGTAAAGGTAAGCCGTAACAAAATCATAATAATATTAAAATACACAAAAACAATGTGATTACCACTCTGGATAATAAATCAGTATTACCAGGATAGGTTTAGGGTAAGGGCAAATTGTTTTTGAACGCACAAAGGGAGTTTCAATTTCCGTATAGTCAAGGCTTCAATAAACCGTAGTATACGTCCTTGAAGGCTTTTGTATAACACTACAAATGCTGACTTGATTTCAACCTTATGACCAGTTTCAATCAAATGTTTCGCGATGGAGGATGATATCTGTCTATCCCGTGATCTTATTTGACCATCCGAATTCATTTGCTTCTGCAGTCATTTTTCATATAAAAATGTCTTAACAAGTACTTTATGTGTGATCAGATTGTTCGAAATGTATTGCTGAAATATATCGCATAATTCTCATAAACTTTGTCTTCTCATTACGTTATCGAAATTTATCAAAGAGACTAATTATAAGCAAAGACAGATAGTGGCTAGCAATCGAATCCAGGACGCGCGTTTCGTCCTATTTGGGACTCGTCATCTGGGTGTACCTGCATCTCAGAGTTGATGTTCACTCTAGGACTCAAACCCAGTACCGTCCAATTCAAACGCTATCGCGTTATCCACTTAGCTTATAATGCTTGTAAATTAAGGTAATACGTACAGTATGCAAATATGCAGTCCTAAACATTAATTGGAAGATTCAAGTAAAAAAACAATACCAAGTGAATTAAAGAGACTAATTGTTTTAAATTTCTAAAAAGAAGACTCCCTACATAATGTATAGTTTGAGACCGACTAAATAGATCTGTACTTGAGAATGTTTGTGTTTCATCATCATGAATTCAGGTATTATCTATTTTCTTTGATACTTATTAAATAATTATCATCTTATGAATACTTCTTTTCCTATATATATACATAGATTATTCCAACCAGTGAATGTATAGCATCAGTAACATTATATACTCCAATTCATCTATCTAAAACTTAGTTGCCAAGTATCCAATTAACAACAACAACAAACAATATGCCAACAGAAAAAAACTCCCATTTTAAACTATAATTATTTTCTCTTTAAATAACTGCTAATTAACTTATTGTTCTAGTTTATGTATTATTTTCACTTTCCTTCAAAAGAGAATCAATATTATCTACAGAATTCTTATTCCAATATTCTTCTATAACTTGTAATTAATCAAAACCATTATTTCATAATAAAACATCCACTTTGTAACTGATCATGACATGTAATAATGATTTGTTTAAAAATTGTTTAACTATAGATTATATTTTTGATTGAGATCATGAACCGACTGATGTTAGACCACCGTTGGAAACCTGGAAGCACTGGATGGCCGTTTCGTCTTATTGTGGAACTCCTCTCTGGCAGTGCGCATCCACGATCTCGCTCGCGGGATTCGACCCCAAAGCCTTCAGTCTCGCGTGCGAACACTTAACCTACTGGACCACTTAGCTGGCATCCAATGGTCTTAGTGTCTAACATCAACCAATCCACGAACTTGCGCGACCATTTTTCATTGTACTGAGGTAGATACCTGTCTCTACCCGACGTGGATTAGCTCCATTGGTCACAGCTTCTCACTAGAACTCCGAGAATTCCCTCACGAAGCTGGTCACTAGTGAGCACATGTTAGTTCTCAGTATAGGGGTTGTGGAGATTACTAGTTTTTTTATTGAAATCATGAACCGATTGATGTTGGACCACTGTTGGAAACCTGGAAGCACTGGACGGCCGTTTTGTTCTATTGTGCGTCTTCACAGGTTACACATTAACATAATAAGGTAACTACCATAAGAGCTCGAGATAATGTGGTCGGATATTCAGAATATGGCTGGAAAACGATCGAAAAGATATGTATGTGTGAAAGAGTACTACAACTCAATATCTAGTGTTAACATAAACAGTAAACCTATCTATGAAATTTTGACCGCTTTTCAATTATCACATCCAACATCTTTAACCATTGACGGCGATTATCGTGTAGACCCCAGGCAAGTAGTCATCATCTACTAACATGGCTCAGACTAACAGTCAATGACTTTATGTACTGATGCGATATTTTGGTTTGGCAGTTTCTTTCAACCAGCAAACATAGCCAGGTGACGTAGGTGGTGGTTGGCAAATTCAGTTAATAAAGATTCACTGCCGCAACCAATTTACCAACTTTTGCCCAGTTCTCTTGTCTAACATTATTTATTTATATCAACACATAGATATTGGTACAAAGAGGCACTAAATACATATGCGCCACACAAATCTCATTCGATATGTGTGAGCGCTGTGATACTGCCCGGGTGCTCAGACCGAAGCAGGTGGTTTTCTTAGGGGGCCACACCCCGAGCCTTTGACCTAAAGGTCTGATCCACAAGGCAGTGGAGCATCGTAAGGAGATGCAGTCCCATGGTAGCCGGTGATCAACAATTGGTTCATACGCCGTTTGTTCCCGCAGGATACTGGAGCCCGTGTGCACCATTGGTTTGGAATCCGGTTAAAGCTCCAGACATTCGCTTTTCGTCCTCTCATTTTTGTAAACAACACCCCCGCCACGAGAAGGCAGTGAGTAGGACTTCCCTGGCAGAGGCTATATACGCGAGGCCGTTCGAGAGGGAGAGCGGACTCGACCGTACCAGGGCATTTGGGGGCTCTTGTCTAACATGAAGATTACTCACTCGATCGTCCCACAAAGCGACGCTAAGGTCATTACATTGAGCGGTTCAGTGCAAAACTTTATCTATTACGATTCCACATCATTCATTGTTTACCGACTCTGAAACGATGCAATAGGCGAACGGGTGGCAAATGTATGTCACGATGTCGTGGTTTTAAAGAAAGTTGTATTGGACCAAACCAACAAATTTTGACTAAATAGGCAAACAAGGATTTTAAAAAATTACGTGGAGATCTGTGAATGTTCTAGATGTCCACATCTTCAAGGAATTAAATATATGGACCATGAAAAATCATCAAGATTAAAATAAAACTGCACAATTTCCCATATACTTCAGTTGTTGTACAGTCGATAAATGTTGATATGTAATGCGCCTTTAAATATTTAATATTATAACTCTGAGTCAACTTTATGTCAGTGCATAACATGTTTATTCAGATAGATTAACACAGCCCTCCTTTGTGAATTGACCTGATATATTCATTCAATGAGAACTTCCTGGTAAATTCTTTCAGACATTGATCACATTTTGGTTTTATACCTATAGAATAAGGATTAAAAGCATGGTGCAAAAAACTTAAATTAGAAAATTCTAGAAAAACAAATGAAGTGTATAACACAAAAACCTGTAGGTTGAAAGTTCGAACACTGCTTCACCTACTTTGTTTTGAGTAGTTGGGTAGTATTAGAAGCCTTTTCATACATAGTGTAATTAATGACCGGATATATGAGTTATCACTTAGTAAGTGAATAAAAGCGACGATAATATAAAGATCAACCGATGTAACTTGATCAACTTTAAAATTCATTCAATTAAGAGTTGGTACTAGTATTATATTTTAGGAAATATGAGTTTTTAAACACTTAGATAGGTTGTGATTAATAGACATAATGATGTATTAAAATAAATAAAAGACAGGTAGATTGTTAAGATATGATGATGTCAGGAACAGGTAGCCCAGATATGAAATCAGGCCGCCAAAATTCATTAGACATACACAGAGTACTACACAGATATGAGTATGACAGTAAAATTACAAGAAAACATGGAACTGGCATATTTTAGTCTTCTATTCAACAAGTTAACAGACGATATTAGATCACTAATTGCATCTCACTTTCACATCATATGTTGAACATTCAGATGAATCATCAAGTAAAGGAAGCATTAACGCTAATTTGTAATACTGACTGATTTCTATGAATCACGTTTACAGTATCAACAATAAGCTGAGTTAGTTAACATAACTCTAAAACTGACTACATGCTGTATTATCATTGAAGAAAAAGGTGCATATTAGTTCCACAGCTGTCGATGAGACACCTAATTCATAACTGGCTAAAACAATGAGTTGATTACTATCTGAATAGCTTCATAATAAGGTATCTGAATGGAGTATTAATTCCAAAAATTGTTATTGCATAAAGGATAAAAAATGAAGAGACAGTGGATTACCACATTACTCGTCAATACAATTTTTGACAATAATAACACTAAAATGAAAACAGAACAACAGCCGAAACGTGGATCATCACATTTTCACATAAATAAGCTTTTTAACAGAACTGAAAGATCCGAGATTTATTCTGTAAGGAACTGAATGTGAAGTCTCATAAAAAGCATCAAACTAAGATAAAACATCAATGTATCACTCTTTTATTCTCATTAGCTCTTCAAATAACTTTTCTATGATGCAACTTATCTTTATCTGAGGAATCCCATACTAGGACGAAACGGCCGTCCAGTGCTTCCAGGTTTTCCATGGTGGTCTAGCTTCAACTGACTCATGATTTCAATCTCTGAAAATTTCTAAAATCTCCACAAACCCATTCTGATAAAAGTTAAATGATTCAATATGAAACTGTGTAACTAATTAAACAAATGAGAATCCCAATCAATATATTGCCTTTCTTTCTTACTGAAACTTTGTTATAACTTGTGACCTGTGTACCCTATTAATGTATAACGTAATAATACATCCGATTAGAGAACTATGAATTATCGATCGAACCAAGGACGCATAAAACACATACGAGCAATCTAGAGTGCTTATCGGTCTTGCTTACCACCTAGCCCAGCCTGTTAAGTTCAGAACACCAATCTCAGCCTCTGCGATATGAATTATGTACTTCAAACATACTCGGTTTATATACAAACCAAACAGACCACATTGTACCATAAAATAAGAAACAACATTTGTACAAGATTTAGCCAAATGTGGCAGTGAATATGGGAGGTAGTAATTAATAGACTGGGCATAACTCAAGAATGGTAAATCGTATAATAATAGTTTATGGATCAAAATAAAGCTCATAATGAGAGGAACAAGAATATGAATAGTTCAGTCATTTAACAATTATGCGATAAAAATATACGTATAGTATTAGATCAGAAATAGATTCCATTAGTTACCATTCATTATTCTCGTCGGGATATAACAAACTTCAGTTGAACATCGAAGTGAAATGAAGGTTCTTCATGAACATAACTTTTTTCTAAACGCCGAGGAAGGGAAAACTTGGTTATTTTCATTGACAACAAGATTACCGCTACCATCAACTTTATCAGAATGACATTCATCTACAAATGTAAGTCATAAACGGTATATTTGTTACCAATTATTTATAAATAGTTGTCTACCCAAGATACTCAACATCCATTGACCGGATACCACCATTAACAGCCTTCTGTAAGAGAGAACAAACGAACTTCCAACTGAAGAGGAAATTAGGTAAAGAAGATGGAAATGGATTGGAATCCTAAAGGCAAGCGAAAAAGAGGAAGGCCAAAGAACACTTACGTCGGGAAATAGAAGCAGATATGATTAGGATGAATAACAACTGGAAGGAGCTGAAAAGGATTGCTTGGGACAATGTTGGATGGAAAAAGCTGATGGGCTTAATGCATTACTCATATTTTGACAGTCGAATTGTTGTCATCTAAAAAACTTTTATCTTAATGCCCCTTAAACAAATTCCCACCAAAACAATTTGTAATAAAGTATCAAGATATACATCTTGTTAAGTGCAGTTAACATGGTTCAAGAAAAATAGAAACCAGTAAATGTTATGATCTGAATAAATAGTCGAACATCGTCACACAAAGTCCCGAGGAAACGTGTATTTCTAACTCGTGCATACTTTGAAACAATATGACTTCTAACCTTTAAGGGACTGTATCGTACTTCTTCACATTCTGTTATACTGTATTGTGCTACTGATATCGACAGATATAAGTAGTATGTATTATCAATCGAAAGTGAAATGCCTGGAGACAGAAGATTAAGAAAATAGAACAAGAACAGAGAGTGATTCACATGAAAAATGAAGAACAGTGAAGTTTGAGACGAATGATTGACGTTTTGCAAATGAAGTATTTATTATATGATACTCAAATTTTAGTAAGATGTTCTGTAATTTTGTATTCAGATACATTCGATTGTCTCCAATTGTGTTCTCGTTCACTACAATACGAGATGTTCCAGCAACATTTGTGTCGTGCATCCTTGATTTGTTTGAAATCCTTTAACCCATAAACGATAATCCCTAAGTGATTGTATGTCTGGACAACTGGCAGCTCAATGTTATTCA